GTCTGTCCATGTCCAAGAAGTGACCCTTTGCCTGCCTTTATTGGCGTTCCAGGCTGCGGGCGCTGGGATCCCACCCGGCCCGGGCCGCTTCCGGGGCGCGCGGCGCGAGCGCAGCCAAAGACCTGGCGTCGCAGCAGCCAAAGACCTGGCGTCGCAGCAGCCAGCGGCCAGCGAGGCCAGGGGGACTTCAGCTGGAGCCTCGCGGATGCCTCCCTCGGGGCTTGGGTCCCCGCCCGCAGACGGGCGAGTCGTGCGGGAACCGAAAGGCAGCTGCAGAGTTGAGGGAGGTGGGGACGGCAGGAGAGCGGAGGACGAGGGGACACGCGAGAACAGCGAGGAGACTGGGGCAGGGACCAAGTCTGCCGGACGCTAGGAAATGGGGAAACGAGGCTACTCCAGACCCCCGCAGCACAGAAACTTCAGGAAGCGCGTCGGAGGCGGGGCATCTGCGGGAGAACTGGGACTTCTGCTGCCCACTAAAGGAATCCGGGAGGGACAGGTTAGCTGGGAGAAACTCGCAGTACTCTGGAGAGAAGGTAGTTCCGTGAGGAAAGCAGTTTAACTGAATATGCGGCTCTTAGGAGGTACAACAAACTAAAACAAAACAAAACGAATTTCTCCTGCCTTTGGCCCTGGAATCCAGGCATCCCAGCACCCGGGGGGCCGCCTGGAGTCCCTTCCAGCGCTGCCCAGGGACCATCCAGACCTCTCAGGCCATTTAGATCTCTTCAGGAGGGGACCCGTGGCCCACGGGACAGGGGCGCTGGGGGTCTTTCACCTCCCAGCGTTTCTGCCCCTTGCTCCCTTGCCAGGGAAGCGCTTCAGCTATGAGCGCACATTTGGAAACCTAGGAATACGGATGCATCCGAAATTCAATTGAACATCCTCACAGGAGGCTTGGGCTGTAACTGAAGCTGGATACCAAACCACGTTGCATCTGAACTTAGATTTTGCACGGTTTATAACGACGTTATTTCAGATTTCAAAAAAGAAAAAGAAGAAGACCTAGGAGGGGTAGAAGGAGGAGAAAGAGAAGAAAGAGAAAGAGGAAATTGCAAAGCTATACGTCTCCCTCTTTTTTGTTTCGTGTTGTCTCTCCCTCCGTGCACACGCCAGGAAATCCTGGAGCAGAGGATCATGGGTTATGAGTAAATACATTGACACATTGAAACCATTTGCATTTTAAATGTTTCTTCATTAAACAGAACACATGTAAAATGTGGGTGTTTAATCTTAAATTGCACCTCAAAATTACACACACCAAAATGGTAGCTATTTATCCACAAACTCTTGAAAACTCTAGAAAACCAAAGTAATAAAACAATGAGAAATGGTACAGGCGGCGTAAGTTTTATTGAAATGTCCTTGTGTCGTTTGCCTTAATTCCCGAATAAAACCGGTGCTGAAGAGGCAGGTCGAGACAGGAGCAGGGGCTTACGCTGCTCGTCAGTGGCGCGGGGGCAGCGCCGGGGCCACCGC